GAATTGGCACGTTTGCTCCTTGAAGCTGGCGCAAGCAAAGATGTAGCCACGACAGATGGAGCAACACCTCTTCACCTCGCATCTCAGAATGGCCACTTGGAAGCGGCACGTTTGCTCCTTGAAGCTGGCGCAAACAAAGATGTAGCCACGACAAATGGAGCAACACCTCTTTTGCTCGCATCTGCGCACGGCCACTTGGAAGTGGCACGTGTGCTCGTTGAAGCTGGCGCGGGCAAGGATGCAGCCCTCACAGATGGAGCAACACCTCTTCACCTCGCATCTATGCAAGGCGACTTGGAAGTGGCACGTTTGCTACTTGAAGCTGGCGCAAGCAAAGACATAGCCTCGACATATGGATCAACACCTCTTCACCTCGCATCTCAGAATGGCCACTGGGAAGTGGCACGTTTGCTGCTTGAAGCTGGCGCGGGCAAGGATGCAACCAACACGCATGGAGCAACACCTCTTCACGTCGCATCTGAGAATGGCCACTTGGAAGTGGCACGTTTGCTCCTTGAAGCTGGCGCAGGCAAAGATCTAGCCACGCCGAAGGGAGCAACGCCTCTTCACCTCGCATCTCAGAATGGCCACTTGGAAGTGGTGCGTTTGCTCCTTGCAGCTGCTGCGGGCAAGGATGCAGCCGGGACAAATGGAGCAACACCTCTTTTGGTCGCATCTGCGAAAGGCCACTGGGAAGTGGCGCATTTGCTCCTTGAAGCTGGTGCAAACAAAGATATAGCCACGACAGATGGAGCAACACCTCTTTTGCTCGCATCTGCGCAAGGCCACTTGAAAGTGGTGCGTTTGCTCCGTGCAGCTGGTGCGGGCAAGAATGCGGCCAACAAGCGCGCAAGGACTCGGCCAACACAGATGGAGTAAGGAGCAACGCCTATTCACATCGCAGCTGCGCAAGGCCGCGTGGAAGTGGTTCATTTGCACCTTGAACCTGTCGGAACAACCGAAATCCTAAAACCCTAAACAATCATACAGCCACGACAGATGGAGCAGCGGGCAAAGAGATCATACGGAGACTCACATTCGCGTTGTGGGGTCGAGGGTTAAGGGCGCTTTTTGGGGGGTTCGGGCTGAAGTTTCAACTGTGCTTTGTGCCTTGTGTGGCTCGGTTGGGTTGGTTTGCCTGTGAAATTGGCTTTCAATGGATTTCAGGGTGAAAGGTGGGGGCTGGTAAGGAATTTGTCTTGAAGCGTGCTGCTTTAGAGGAGGCGTAGACAGTTGCAACGCCCGCCCGAAACTGGAGCCCCCAAGCGTCCCCAGAGCCTCCAAACACAGACTCATATGACTCATGACTCTTGCGGGATCAGAGTTTCCAACGTCCTTCAACTTAGCAAAGCTTATGAACACACAACATGCCTTAAATGAGTTTTAAAGCCCGACAGGCGCCTGATATGCTCTTCATAAAATACTACCACCTCGACGTTCTGCAGCCCTCTTTGGAGCGAACCCGAAGACTTTTGCTACACGCCCTCGGGCTGAAGTCAGATCTGCAGACGGCAGTGCACTCCTTCTCACACGGGGTGTTCGGCAGTAGTCCTTTTTGACACTGCCATTGTCACAGCCTGGCGGAAGCAAGCTCAGTTGTCGCGCTGTGTCGATCGGCTTGTTGCTTTGTGTAAATGCCCCTCGCAAGGAGAACCACGTATGGCTAGGCGTAACTGTTCAGACAGTCGTTTCCGACTCTGGCGACACAACGGCTTCTGGATTTGATTCATGTCCGGCTTGGATCGGCCTGCACCAGAAGGGTCGCACGCGTTGGACATTTGCTTTTCGGGGGCTGCATTGGACGCGTCCTCGGTTGCGGCTCTCCAACGCGCTTTGCAGGCACTGCATCCTAAACTCAAACCTCAGAGCCCCTGCGCACCTAGAGCCCCCAGACCTCTAAGCCACCTCACCCTAGTTCTCAATATCTTCAGCCTTAGTATCCAAATTGCTTGCCGAAGCGTTTACGTACCAATAAATCAAAGCGTTCTATCACGCCCGATTTAACCCTACTCCCTCTTGGGAAAGCCTTGGCCCTCTCTGTGCTCCCCCCGAGGAGGCCAGCTCGGAAGGCGACTTGAGCCAAACAAGCTTTCGCAGTGCTTTAAGGGTTTCGGGTTCTGGGGACCAAGAGCAGAACCCCTGACCCCAAACCCGGATTTCTACGTGATCCAGACCCCCCAAACCGTAAACCCCGGAAAATGAATGCAACAGTCCTGGACGCAGTGGGGATTGGGTTTCAGGTTTGGGTGGTTTAGCGTTTGGGATTGGAGGTTGGGGACATGGTCCCTTAAACCCTAGGTTTAGGAGTTCGGTGAAGGATGTGGTCCATTTTTCAGGCCGCTGCTGACACGCTCCTCAATGTCTTCTGGGGGGTTATAAGTTATAAGCCCTAATAGCTGATTAATTAGCCCCTATAAAGAGCTGTTTAACTCTTAAGGGATTCTGGTTCAAGGTGTGGGGATTAAATCCAAGCCACCCACCGAAAAGCGTGTGCACCGCACGCAGTCGAGGTCAGGAGCTGCGCTTCATGGCGCGAATTCTGCGCGGCACCATCTACCAGCAGGCCTCCAACGGACTTGAGGGTTCTTAGGGTTTAGGGTGTAGGTTTTAGGGCCCTAAACCCTAAACCCTAAACCTTAAACCTTAAGCCCTAAACCCTAAACCCTAAACCCTATAAACCCTAAACCCAGTTTAGGGTCAAGCCCCTAAGCCCCTTGAGGTTTCGTGAGAAGTCAGCGATCATTCTGCGAAACCCTCGGAGGACCCAAAACTGTATGTAAAGCTTAGGTCCCGAGCCTTGTAGACGAAACCCTAAGCTAAACCCTCAACCCTGGGCCCTGGACCCCAATCCCCAAATAGAAAGACTTAGGCCGCCGACGAGCCCTGAATCCCCAAAGCAAGCAGGCTTTTGGCCTGAACGACAAGGAGGTGGAAATGAGGCTTGGGTTTCGGGCTGAAGGGCTTTAGGGTTGCAAGCTGCCATCAATGTCTCATGTCTTGGGCTCACCCATAGTGACAACAGATCCGAATTGGGCAAATCCCTATACACCTTCACGTCCTTAAACCCTCCCTAAACCCCTTTGTTAGCCCCGTAACCCCGCGTCCTATAAGAAGGGTCCGCACGGCAGGATCGGCTTTGAGGGCCCGTAAAGCTGCCATCAGAGCAATCACTCGTTTTTGTTGTTCAGGCTTTGTGCTTAGGATCCTAAACCTCAGTACCTACATGCAAGATCCTGTACCAGCAGCACTTGGTCAGCTGGTTTTGCTTATGCAGCCTAAAGCACCTGGTTGAGCTATCGTTCCACTCACAGCATCATGCGTGTGCACCCTATACTGCGCAAGTCTCAGGTCTCCTGGGCCAATCAGCTAACACGATCGTCATCACAGCTAATACCCATATGCATATAGTTGCATATACGCATACTCCCTTCAAACATAGCACATGTATGTTACGTGCCAGGCTTGATCTTCAGTCTGCGAAGACGTGAGCCCCGCAGGCTCTCAACCCTAAACCCTCCTGACATTTCCAGGGACGCTTACACGCTGTCGAACGCCCAGTTCTGGGAAGACTACTACAACTCCACCGACCCGACTGTCTTCGACTGGTGTCTTGACCTGACATGCTGAGGGTTGGTGGGTTTAGAGTTTGGGGTTGGTTCAGGGTTGAGTTGTTGTTTTTTGTTTTTTGTTTGATGCTTAGGGGCGGTCACCAGATTCGTGCAGTTTGGGTATGTTTGTTTTGGTCTTTGGGAGCGAGGGCGGAGGCGGAGATTGTTGATGGGCAGGATGGCTGCCCGTGAGTGTGTCATTTTGATGGGCACGGCCTTTGCACCCTAAACCCTAAACCCTAAACCCTAAACCCTAAACCCTAAACCCTAAACCCTAAACCCTAAACCCTAAACCCTAAACCCTAAACCCTAAACCCTAAACCCTAAACCCTAAACCCTAAACCTAAACTAAAGCCCTGCACCTAAACTTCTGCTGACCATTTGTTGTGTGGATCCCTGTGGCCCCAGGCCCGGGCCAAAGGAATTGGAGTGGGAGTCAGAGAGGGATAGCGGGGGAGAGAGACGGCAGGGAGAGGGAGGGAGACACAGAGGGGGAGAGAGAGAGAGAGAGGGGGAGGGAATCAAGAGGCACAAAGAGCACAATCACAGCCCCCCTAAACCCTAAGCCCTAAACCCTTAACCCTAAACCCCTCCTGTTTCGAATCCCAAAGGTATGGCTCTTGGCACACGGACGTGATGTGGCTCGAAGGCGAAGCCACCGAGAGCCTGGGGACAGCAGCGGCCCCGGGCAGGATGCCTGCTTGACAGTTCATGGCTTGGTATAAGTTGTTAGTTAGGGTTTAGGGTTTAGGGTTTAGGGTTTAGGGTTTGGGGTTTAGGGTTTAGGGTTTAGGGTTTGGGGTTTAGGGTCTAGGGTCTAGGGTTTAGGGTTTAGGGTTTAGGGTTTAGGGTTGAGCGTCCCCCCCCCCCTTTAGACTTTAGTAGGTTACGAGTAAGCCCCAGCTGAATGCAGATACCGCACTTAAACTCAGCTACGCCGAGACTGAGCAGAAGTCTGCCAAAAAGAGGGTGTAGAAGAGAATCGGAGAATCCGAAGAATGCAACATCATGGTGACGGCCCCAATCCCCAAAACAAATCAAGCCTCAGGAGCCCCTAGCCCTGGAGCCCCAAAAAACCGATTGGAAAGAAGCATCGCCTCGGCCGACACTGGCTTTTGTAGTAGTTTGTTACCCTTCACCCTTTTTTTTGGAGAGGGTTTCAAGGTTCCCTTACAAAGTGACCAACCCAAAAAAAAGGTATATGGTTACTGGGGTACCCAAGGTAAACGCATGTTCAGGGTTCAGTAGAAGAGCTCAGGAACTGCCCTAGTAGGGTTTTAAGAGTTTAGGGTTGCGTAAGGGTAGTCGCAAACTCGCTGCCGATGGGATTGCCGTAGTCTCACCCAAAAGGTTTGAGTGGAAAACTGGAGTTAGCTTGCTCAGCTTCACTGCTCTCTAAGCGTAAAAACTCTGAAGCCAGGCTACATCCTGAGCCCTAAACCCTGAAGCAAATACCCGGAAAAACCTGAGCCTTAAATCTTAGAATCGAAGCCCTCAGTCCGGGGGGGAGGGAACAAGCAGAAGGGTTACAGGTACCCTAAATAAGGCGTACACCCGCTAATCTCCAAGTAAATCAAACCCTGAAGAACCCTCAACCCCCCAAACCCTAAAATCCTAGACCCGAACCCCCAACCACCCTTACGCGACGCAACGCACTAGTCTCCAAAACCGAAATTTAGGCAACCCCCCCGGGAAACCTCAACCCCAGTCCCGGGGGGGGGGGGGGGGCAAGCGCACCAAACCCCGAACGCGAGACACGAGTCGAGAGGGGGCTGGTGTGGTGTGGAGGGGCTGCGGGTGTGAAAGGGGGGTGGGGAGGGGTTGGGTGGGCGGGGGTGGGGGGGGGGGGGGGGGGTTGGGGTGGGGGAGGGTGGGGGGGGGGTTGGGGTGGGGGAGGGGTGGGGGGGGGGGTTGGGGTGGGGGAGGGGTTTTGCCAAAGGAGCCCCTACCCCCTGTGCTGAACCGCATATGGTAGATGCGTTTACGTCGTGCGGGTGGCGCGGTCCTCCATGAAAAAATTGTGCACCGACCCCCCACCCCCCCCCTCCCCGCGTTTTAAGGTTTTTGGAGGGATCCAACACGCCGCCGGGGTCGGCGGACAACCGAACCCTCAACCCCTAAAACCCTCAAACTCTCAAACTCTTAGCCCTGAATCCCTAAGCCCCCTAAAGCCCAAGGTGCTCGCGCGGCACTTGGATCCACAGGCGTCCATCTTGGTCTTAGGCTGCGGGCGCTCCGATCTCTCGGAGCTCATGTATCGGGAAGGCTGGGAGTTTGGGGCTTATGGGGTTTAGGGTTCCGGGCGCAGAGTGGAGGGCTTCAAAAAGGTGTAGGGCTTATAAGGTTTCAGGCTTACAAGGTTTAGGGCTTATGAGGTTCAGGGTTTCGCATTTCGGGTCTAGGGGTTGAAGGTTTGGGATCGGCGAACTCCACAATCCCTTAGCAAGGCCTCAAAGCAGCTTTCCTTACGGTTGATGGTGATGGCGATTATCAGGCCGAATGGCCACTCCTGGTAGGGTTTCAGAGCTTAGGGCACACGCCGGATGCGCAGTCCCTTCATTGAGTGATTGCTTAGCCCAAGACCAATTGATCAAGGAATGCATCTGCTTCAACTGTTTGGAGATGATGGTTTTCCTGAATTACTGTAAGGCATATAAACCCTAAACTATATTCAATTTTCCTTCGTAAGAGTGTATTGGGCTCTCTGCGCAGGTTCCCTTGGAAATCCCATGAAACCAAGAAAGGCCAACCTTTGGTTGCTGTGGAATTAGGGTTTAGGGTTTCGGGTTAAGGGTTTCAGAGATTTGGGTCCAGAGTTCAGGGCTCTAGGGCTCACAGGGTCTGGGCTGTGGGGGTGTGGAGTTGAGGGCTTTCGCGCATGGGCTCCATAGCGCTGCCCAATTTTCGGTTCTAGGGAAGCTAATCTCTAAGCCTCATCGCCCCCATAGCAACCCATCCCTAGACCCTAGTACAGACCCTGTGGACCCGGTAGACCCCTAAACCCGACCCTACAAACCCAAACCCAGTAGACCCTACAGTACAAACCCTGTAAACCTTCTAACCCCTATTAACCCTATGAAACCCCAAATAAAACCTTTTTGCAGCAAGAGCCTGTGGGTCCCTGGAGGCTTTGAGAACATCACGAACGCGGACATCAGCGAATCGCTCCTCCAGGGCATCGGGGCTTCGATTGTGTGGTTTTTGCGGTTTGGGATTTAGGGTTTAGGGTTTAGGGTTTAGGATTTAGGGTGTAGGGTTCGTTTTTTGGTTGAGAAGGCTTGGGGGCTTAGGGTTTCTGTGGAGGGGGCTCGAGGGTTGGGGGAACCAGCTAGGCCCTAGGCCCCCGGAGCTTCAACTAAGCTCGTTGATCTCGCAAGCCCAATTGGTAGCAATGAGTAGGGTTGTGTGGAGCCAGTGTCCAACGTAGCTTGGGATGTTCCCCCGTATACTAACCATAATCTTTTCTAGGGATTATGGTACCCCTATGATCATCCCCGTTAAGGACTGTTAGTATAGGGGGCGAACATCCCAGCATGGAGCCCTGAAAGCAAGGTAATGACTCCCCAGCTTGAAGTACCCCATGTAACATCCTCATGTATGTCAAGCTCTTTGCCTCTCAAAGCCACATCAAGCCGTCATAGCCGGAGACCCGAGAGACCTGAAGCCAAACAACCTACACCCTAAGTCCCAAACCCTAAGTACCCTGAACCCGAAACCCCAAGTCGAAGCCCTCCAAGACTGAGCCCCAAAACCCTAAACCCTAAACCCTAGACCCCACGGAAGCCATGAAGTGAGGACTGGAGTCACGCCTCGGACCCTTGATGCCAAAGATGCGCCGGACTCAGGGTTTAGGGATGAGTGGGAGAGGGGTTGAGGGTTATGAGGCGGTTTAGTGCTCAGGGCGCAAGATTTAGGGAGGGTTACAAGGGGTAGGGTTTAGTGCTCAGGGTGCAAGGTTTGGGCTTACAAGCCCTTGGATGGGGGTTTAGTGCTCAGGGCGCAAGATTTAGGGCTTACAAGGCCTTGGAGTAGCACACCCTGAACTGTAAACCCCGAACCTCTGAAGTAGGGTCCCCAGTACGCATTATGAGAGTGGTCCCTGAACCCTAAGCGCTGAAGTCTAACCCAGGAATCTCTATGGTTTTTAACCTTCCTCATTTGCAGGGTTTGGTGTTAGAGGTAAACCCTTTGATCGTGACTCATGGGATACCGAACTGTTTGTGGCCTCATTATTCTGTGCATGTAAAACTCGATATCTACTTATATATACATATATATGTATATATATATATATATGAACATATTAAATATACATATTTATATTTGCATTATATATATATATATATATTGTGCATGAACATAATATGTATATATGTACGGCGCCTTACCTGGTCAATCCACACCCTCTTTAAAGCCGGCAATCATGTGAACACTGATGCGCCCTGTGCTTCAACAAGCAAAACCTATGGATTCTAGGGGGTTTAGGGTTTAGGGTTTAGTTTAGGGTTTAGGGTTTAGGGTTTAGGGTTCAAGGTACCTCATTAGGCAACCACCCAGCCCTAAGCCTCGAGTCCTTTGTCTTCCCATGTATCTTGCGAGTCTACCTTTGGGGACTCCTCGGGCCCCAGACGGGTCCCGAAGGAATTGGTAGATAGTAATCGAACAGAGACGTGGTTGAATCATGCATGACAAGCAGTACTATTGAAACGGAATGCACGGAAGTAGTATTCTTGAACTGTAGTAGCAGACGCAACCGTAAAAGCAATACGGGGAGGGGGGGGGAATACTAGTAAACAATGAAGAACATCAGACGAACCAATCACGTCGAAATCCAAACCTACAAGCTGCGCCAGATCTAGAGACTTCTTCACGCCAGGTGCGTAGAATGGCCCTAGAAACACTTCGGGGTAGGGTTTAGGTTTTAGGGTTTAGGGTTTGTGGATTCTCGCAGGTCATGGAAGTGGATGAATGCGTCGGCGATGTCTGCAGACTCAGTGCCTTGGCTGGCTACTCCTACTAGTTGGGGGAGTTTACGAAAAAAAGGCGCCCCTAGAATGGACCCCCAAATGGTAGGATTCCCTCATAATCAGGACCCCCCAAGAAGGCACTCCGAGTTTCGGAAACCCATTTGCACAAGCATCGGGCCACTGATACCTTAACTCGACTCTTTGGGATTCCTGGCAACGAGCAGAAGCTGTTCAGGAACTTCCTTCCGGCCATGAGGGCTTAAATGCCGCTCATTCGTCCGCATCAAATTCGCTTCGACCAGTTTCTAGGATTTTTGGGTTTCGTGGTCAGGGTCGGGACATATCCCTCCTCGTGATCGTGCATAATGGTGCCGGGACAATGCATTATGTCAGATCCCCACATGCTAGGCCCTCTGGCCCAAGGCCTGTCGCGCGCGCGCGCGCGCGCGCGGGTGTGTGTGTGTGTGTGTGTGTGTGTGTGTGTGTGTGTGTGTGTGTGTGTGTGTGTGTGTGTGTGTGTGTGTGTCTGTGTGTGTGTGTGTGTGTGTGTGTCTGTGCGTGTGTATGTGCGTGTGTATGTGTGTGTGTATGTGCGTGTGTATGTGTGTGTATGTGTGTGTATGTGTGTGTATGTGTGTTATGTGTGTGTGTGTGTGTGTGTATGTGTGTATGTGTGTATGTGTGTATGTGTGTATGTGTGTATGTGTGTATGTGTGTATGTGTGTATGTGTGTATGGGTTATGAGGTATGGGTCTGTGTATGTGTTATGTTGGTATGTCGTGTATGTGTGTATATATATGTGGTGTATGTTGGGTGTTGTGTGTGAGAGGAGGAGTGAGTGAGTGAGTGAAAACTGAGTGTGTTGAGTGTGAGAGTGACGTGCAGGTGAACTGATGTGGGGGTGAGTGAGAGAGTGAGTGAGTGAGAGAGTGAGTGAGTGAGAGAGTGAGAGAGTGAGTGAGTGAGAGAGTGAGTGGGTGAGAGAGTGAGTGAGTGAGAGAGTGAGTGAGTGAGTGAGTGCGTGCGTGCGTGCGTGGGGTGTGTGTGTGTGTGTGTGTGTCTGTGTTGTTGTTGTTGTTGTTGTTGTTGTTGTTGTTGTTGTTGTTGTTGTTGTTGTTGTTGTTGTTGTTGTTGTTGTTGTTGTTGTTGTTGTTGTTGTTGTTGTTTGTGTTTATGTTTGTGTGTGTGTTTGTTTTTGTGTTTGTGTTTGAGCTTGTGTTTGTGTTTGTGTTTTTGTGCTTTTGTGCTTTCGTGTCTTGGTGTGTGAGTGTGTATGTGTGTGTGTGTGTGCGCGCGTGTCTGTTTGCTTGTCTCTGTCTCTGTCTCTGTCTCTGTCTCTGTCTCTGTCTCTGTCTCTGTCTCTGTCTCTGTCTCTGTCTCTGTCTCTGTCTCTGTCTCTGTCTCTGTCTCTGTCTCTGTCTCTGTCTCTGTCTCTGTTTCTGTCTCTGTCTCTGTCTCTGTCTCTGTCTCTGTCTCTGTCTCTGTCTCTG